TTGTAGATGAACAGATGCTGGGATATATTCATCATTTAACGCGAGTTCCTCATTTTTCTGGACTGAATAAAACGTGCACTGAATTTAAGGAAATGCAAACGGGAGACGTCATTTAAATTTGACCCATCAAAATGAATGCGGTCATTTATTTACAGAATCAAATTTAACATCAAACATTTACATTAATTTGGCAAATTATGAAAATAACAACAAAGCAATCAATCAGGAAAAATCATACGGCCATGATTTCTCCGTTGCTGCACCAACAGACATTTATAACTGTACAACTATGATCTTTTACCCACATGAATGTGGGTAAGCACTTTACACAGACATTTCTAAATATCTGGGAGAATTTCTACTTGATAGAAAAGTTTAAGATGAAAGATGAAGTTTAAAGGGGAGAAAGATGGTGTTTGAGGTAGAGTGTTGAACAGAACGGCACTCTCCGGGCTTTCTTCAGCTTTTCCTCACAGTACACTTAGGTGGTGAAAACGACTCTTTTACCTGGAGATGTCTCAGGCGAGATTCCGTTTAACGCACCCTTTCAGCGTCTCCGTAGGATGCTGTTACTCGTCCGGAGTAGCGGCGAGATTCTGTCCGCCACAGCTCACCTCAGTGGAAATGTTATAATCCCATGAAACTCGGAAGAGCTTCGTTGTCATGTCAGGAACTCCCACAGAACTCTTGAAGTCTGACAACTCTCCAACTCTGTAACTCCGTGAGTCCGTGAGTCTCTCTTTGAGTACCTGTGAGTCCGTCTGCATACCTGTGAGTCTGTGTAAACCAGGAAGTACTGACATTTTAAAGACTCTTTCCCGGTTCACTTTTTGGGATTTTTCATTGGTCAGAAACGACCAGAAGGGGTGTGTTTTTGTGACGTAAGGGGTTAGAGACAGCGAGAATTGTTATGAGACAGCTCAGAAATGTTCTCACAGACCGAGAGGGTTCTGTTTTGGCGTGCCTAAGACACAGGTGCAAAACATCTCTATTTACGTCTGAGAGGATTCTAAAACATGACAGTTTTAACATAACAACTTGTTTTTCGTTTGACTGTAACCTTGTAAACGCACACACTTGCTCATTCAAAAGCAGAAATCAGAAAAATGCATAATTACTCTGCAACAGCTTTTAACATGAGAATAAAATCATTACTCAGTTAATAAAATTGATTAGTTCACTGCAACATCTAAAATGGTTTGAACTAAGACACTTTGATTATCAACATTTGTAAGATAGTAATGATAATAAAAAGAGAGTGTTCTTTTCACTTGAATCTTCAAGAAAGAAAGTCTCAGGATGGGTGAACCTGTATTTATGTATTCAAATACATGAAATGACAGCTTCTATCCCACAAGGTTCTAAAGGTCAAGAGTTTTGACCTTAGACTGGGTTTCGACGTAGGCTTAGTCCACTACATTTTTATTCAAAAGATCCCTATTTATTTCTGTGTTCTCAACACAAATTACTTCTTTGCTCAGGCAGAAAACTGAAAATGCCAACTGTTCACAGGCTGTTATCGCTGATGAGCGGTACTCAAAGTGAAAAGAAAAATGGTATGCTGGTAATTGTTGATAAGCAGTGACATTAAATATTTTTAGGCACTTAAAAACTTCTAATAGATGCTGCAGTTTTATCTGAAGCACTTTTCTGCCAGTCAAAGCAAAGCAACAGTTTGTCGTTTTTGACACGTGTTTTTCTTGACAGGATTTTGACATGTGTGAACATCCAGTTTCCTTTTGATATATAATTTGATTTTATGGTGGTGGATAAAACTGCTCTCTCCAATCGCCCGGATCCATCACTCTGTGCTGCCTCGGTCAAGGAAAAAAGAAAAAAACCTCCCCCAACCGTGATCCTTGAGGAACACCATCCTGCATGTTTTAGTTGTTTCCCTGCTTTGACACACCTGGTTTGAATGAACGGTTCAGTAAAAGGCTTCTGCAGAACTTGATGAAGTAATTAAATCACTGAATCAGGTGTGTTGGAGCAGGGAAACGTTTAAAGCGTATGTGTCAAACTCCAGGCCTGGGGGCCAAATGTGGCCCTCGTTGACATCTTATCTGGCCCCCAAGATGATATGTGAAACGTAAAATACTTCTATCTCTTGAATTTTTTCAGTAATCGTTGATTATGACGTTGAAAGCACAACAGAGAACATCAAATGAGACCAATCAAAATCTTGTTGAAGAACCTGTGACCAAGAAAAGATGTCGGGTATCTGATTTGAGTTAACGTACATTCTGAAATTGGCCCTTTGTTTGAAAAAGCTTTTAATTTTGGCGTCCATTTGTAAGTGAGTTTAACACCCCTGGTCTAAACCATGCAGGGTATTGTTCCTTGAGGACCAGGGTTGAGAATCATACAGCGTAGCTTCCACCTTCTTGAATATTGCAGTAAAAACATTAAGGTTTGCATTCCCTGTTGAATTCCAGTCCAGAAAAACACTCCTCTCAAAAACTACAAAACATTCACTATTGAAATCCCTCAGAGACGGGAAACATCTGTGTACCGCTTGTTGTCTCTTAATTTGGCTTCATTGTGAGAGTTACGTTTTTATGTTTGAATATAACAACCTGCCTGTTTGTAAGCTTTGCAGTCGTGATTGTTCTGTGCTTCATTATTCTTTCCAGCATTTCCATGTTTTGTATAATAATTTATTGCAGCCACTGATGTTTTTCTATTGTTTATTTGTGTTTTTTAGTGATGGAGATGAGAAACGCTCCGACAGCCAGCCCTCTCTGTGTGACGACAGTAAGGTGGGGAGTGACGACTCATTGGCTGAATATGGAGACAGTGTGGACATCCAGTTCAATGAAGATGGCTCGTTCATCGGCCAGTACAGCGGCCGTGGTCCTGCTCCCCATGGCAACAATGGCTCTGGTCCAGCCTCTCCAGATTCAATCCCCCCTCCCCCCATTGCTCCATCCATGTCGAGCATCCTCAACCGGCCAAGCTAGATCCACACATACTTATCCAAACCAAACTACATCTGCACATGCATGCTGCAGAAAAAAACTAAAGGGATGGACCACTCCTGTTAACACTGCCTGTTATATATATATATATATATATATATATATATATATAAATATATACATGACTTCAAGAAAAACATGTTATTCAGAAGGCCTTTTGCTCTAAAGCAGAGAAAAAGCAGAGAAGTGAAGGACGGGGCCAGCTGCAGCAGCTGTTCATGAATTATTTAAAATTAGTTCCGACAGAAAGGCTGATAGATTGATTCCACTTTGTTTGCTCCATATCAAATGATTCTTATGTCTGACTGTTAAACAATGAAACTGGCAGAGTCCCAAAGAAATTCAGTCTTTGTAGCTCCAGAATGACTTTACTAAAAACTTATTTGGGCTTTTTATTTTATTTTGTGAAATCATAACTTATAGATAGATTGAAAGAAAGAATGAAAGAAAGGAAGGAAGAAAGAGAGAAAGAAAAAAGAGAGAGGGAGGAAAGGAAGGAATGTTGGTTGATTTTGAGCATTGGATTTGTTCCTTTAAATCATGGGTGTCCAAAGTGTGGCCCGAGGGCCATTTGCGGCCCTTGCAGTGATTTAGTGCGGCCCGCAACTGCAGTTTAACAATGGCATCATTTTGACCAGCAGGCTTAAGAAGTCTATGCAGACTTTCTGTAAATTAATTAATTAATTAAATTTGTAATCCTTTTTTTATACAATGTTTAGGTTTAACAGCAAAACAGATGAAAAACAATATCCTCAAAATGAGCAATATTAAACAAAATACAAACGTTTGGATATAATTTTTTTTTATTTTCAATTCATGGTACAAAGCACCAAAAACCTTTACTGATTTCTACAAGAAATGAGACTTTTGGATAATGATTCATAAAACTTGTTTAAATATTGCAGCTGATAAAATAATCAAGAGGGAAACTGGTCATTTTTAAATGAATATAACGTGGTATCATCTACATACGAGTTGATCAACTTTATCAAACCTTCTATGAATCTGTTGTAGTGACTGACAGCTGGACGAGTTTTCAGAACTTCAATCATCTTTTTGGGCCGTCCATGGTCCAAAAGGATGATCCCATTTAAAAGGACACGTTTGTTGTTGAGAACAGACTAAAATGAATTTTACAAACACAAGAAAACAACAAAACATAGACCCAACAAATCAAATAAATCTAATATTTTTAATAATAAAAAAAAAAGCTTAGTGTTTATGAGGCTTTTAATATTTTGGATCAACAACCATTTAAAACTCTTTCTCCAAAATATTGTTCATGTTGACAGTTAAATTCATATTTTCGTGACTCACGAGTCTTTTCATCTTGATAGTTTTGCGCCACATGAAAACATTTGGACGCCCCTGGTTTAGATGATAGTCTTGTAAGAACAGAAAGATTTTGTTTCTGGGTGGAGGAGGAGATGGATTCAAATGTGTAAAGTTACTTCATAAATCCTTTTATTCATACATTAAATATATCATTTTGTGGTCATTTATTTACATAAATAATGCATATACATGAATTAAATGGCATTAGGGGAAATATGGCAAATTAGCATTTGGATCTTTTCAGTCATTTTTCAGTTTTTACTTCTGATTTGACAAACACCTGCAGTTTGTGCAGCTGTTTCCAGAGAAAAAGTTTCTATATACAACATAATGAAGCTTTTTGAATAATTCATTACGAACAAAACAAACAAACAAACAAACAAAAACACTTCAAAACAAAGTTTGGAGTGTTTGTGTTAGGTGTAGTAAAAGATGATTAAAAAGCTGATGCAGCTGAGCCCAACGCAGTAACTAAAGTCAGTTTTTTGTTAAAACATCTTTCATTCAATTTTTGTTTTGGTAACGTGTAAATAATTTTTAGTGACAGTTTTTTCTTACCCAATCCTGCCACTTTTTCACAAACACTGATAAATGATTGTTTTTTCAGCCAGTAATGTGACTCTTTAACTAACTCTAAGCATTTACATGAAAAGATGTGACTGTGTGTTTTTATTGACAAATATCTACACGTTTGCCTTTTTGACCTGCAGAGAAGCAGCATTATTTGTTGCCATACCATTATACAGGTGAGCTCTTTTTTATTTATTCATTTTTATTTATAAATCATTTCTTTCTTTTATTTAACACAGTTTATCACAGCACCAGTGCAGGAACAGGATAGTGCAGTTTTGTTCACTGAACACTTTGTATTTGAATGTTTAGAAACTAAAACTTTTTAGTTTTTTAATAAGTGGCACTGTCTCAATCTGGTCCAGTTAAAAAAAATAAAAAATGAACACATTAAATGCAACTCTCCAAAACAAAAAGAAACATGACAGAACAGTTCAACCATATTCAACAAAGTCACTTAATCACAAACAAGGCTTGGACATCACACAACACTCCTAATATCAGACGTGCCTCTCAGTTTTTGTAATGAAAAGTTAAAAGAAGCCTGTTCAAAGCTGATTGTTCACTCTACTCAGCAGAAGGGGTGTGTTCTGGTGTTTTAAACGCTTTGAGGAAATAATTGACACTCGTGCTTTAAGTCAATTCAGAGTTTCAGGTAGCGTTGTTTCTATCATTCAGAGGAATCAGAAACAAAGTCACTTGGAAGCGGACATATACTGCACGTAGGGTATATGTGTGTCTACGTGTGATCATGTGGGCCTAAGAAACACAAAGAGCTGGTAGAGTCTTGGAAAACAGCCTTCCAGTGCAAAATGTGGACGATGAACTGAAGGAACACTTGAACTTGTGCTCTGAAGATCAAAGAAGCCTTACAAAAAGAAAGTCTCATGGCTTTATTCTACGAATGTAAATAGAACATCAAGATTTGCCTTTTTATTTATTCATCCATCTTCTTTAGCAAGATAAGCAAATTGTAATTTATTATTCTTTGCCGTTTACTTTTGTTCTGCAGTGTTCCTGTGCTGACTCATTGTCTACTCCTGTTGTCTTCTCGTGTCACTTAGTAGCTCAGAGATGTAGAGAACACTAGATTCATAGAAAAACAAACCATCTTTTTTCCTAACTGTGCTTAGATATGCAAACAAACACAGATTGTTTAAAAGTTTAATGTAGACAAATAACATTCCTATACTTGGCTGGAGAAGAGGGTTCTTTGTTGGACTCGGTGTTGAGGTTTCCTGCATCCCCAGATGAAACACTGGAAATCAGTCATGAGACTTCGTGTGACAGACAGGTAGCATCACCTGGGCTCAGTCAGACACACTCCGTCTGAGAAAATACACGATGGACACACTGAAAAGAGAAGATACTGCAATACTAAGATATGTTAATGTAACTGCTTGTGTGCTGTACTGTATCTGGAAAACTAACCCAAGCCTATCAACTAATAAATAAACATATACTAAGCATATACTGAACATATCCTGAGCAGACTGATTATTATTATTTATTTATTTTCACAGTGTGATTCTCTATTTATCTGCTGCTGTATAGATATTAACTCTCAGAAAGTCCCAGGGGTAAAAATCAGCTACGCATTTATTTTTGTTCCTTTTTTAATCCTTTATTTGGTGATATCAGTAAATGCTCCTGCAACCTTACAGTAATTTTATTAACCTCAAGTTTTCTCTAGTGGAAAAATTAACCATATTGAATAAATGCATTGTTTTTATCCTATAATTATCATAAAATAATACATTTCTTTAGCTCATTTTTATTATTGCACCTCAGTCTATTCAATTGCTTTTTTTTAATTTTAGCTCTCTCTGTGATGCTTCTTTTTTTTTACACTGAGCACTTCTGAAAAAATTCCCAAGAAGGTCTTTCCCTCAGTCTCTCCACGTTGGGCGTTTCTATGGAGTTCTGCATCTCATCTCCTTCATCTTAATCTGCATCTTTGGGACTTCTGGTGAACACGTTTTGCATGAATTCCAGAAACTTGGTGACTGGGAAGGTAAGGGTGCAACCCACTTGTTTGATTTGTCTTGATAAAACTCAGACGTCATGACATGAAGAAACTTTAGGTTGTCCTACAAAGGAGCAAGTTTATAATCAGCAACCATTCACGTGAAGATGCCTTCTCCTAAACCTTTGCTGTTGTGTTCATCTGGAAAGTAAGAATTACTGTGTTTGGGTGAAGACCTTCTTCACTTTGATCTATCTCTTACATGGCTGTAAATGATTGGTGTGGCCATGCTCCAAGACTAACGTTCTGTAGCTGCTCACCTCCAGAGATCTGAGGGCACCTCCAAGGCAGAGGTCGCCATCTATGACCCAGCCTAAATCCAACCTCTGAGTGAAAGGATCATTGTCTGAACCATGTATCTGTTCTTGAACCTTGTGAATTCTTATAATGTCACTGCCCAGAAAGTAGACTATGTCAGCATTAGGATCAAGGGGGTATAAGATATCTGCAAGTTGCTTCAGGTGAGTCTGGAAATGGGCGGAATTTGGGGTAGGTATCACTGAACAGTTGTTAGTAATCTGGTTGCACTCCAGCAGCATCAACAGTGGTAAACTGACCCTCATGTCTACTGATCCATCAACAAATTCACAAACTAAACTTCCACTTGTCTCTGACAGTCCTGCACAAGTTTTCCATGCATATGGATGGGAAGGACTAGAAACCTGGAAGATAGAACTTGGAGCTTCCTAACTCAAGCTTATGTACATAAACGGCAACAAGATACATTTGAGAACATGTTCTTGCACTGACTCCATCACCACATTGTGTGCACCTTCACTTTACCTCCTGGAGATCCTCTTTGTCTTCCTCCCTGCCATGCTTTGTGGAGGAAGGAGACAGCTTTGGTTTCCAGGCATTGGGCCTTGGCCTTTAGGTGCAGTGCTAACATGGTTGGAGCCGCCACATTCTGTACACGTGACCCCAACAGGAAAAGAGCTCTGAGGGCACCTCCAAGGCAGAAGTCGCCAGTCATTTATTATTATCTATAACCACCAATAGACCATAGAGGGTTGTTCGTCTTTATTCAATGTAGGGCTGGACTATCATACTGAGGAGTGTGGACAAGACATCAAATAGGCAGAAACAGCTGCTTGTGATCTGGGAAAACCTTGGCATGGATGTGATGGTGTTGTCTCTGGCACTGTAACATCAGTGTAGTTTGGTTGTGCATCCTGATGAGTAAGTATAACATCTTTAGCATTGATTGTTCTCTGATGTATTTCATTTGCACATGCACTGGATTGCTGCACATGGGTGACAGTGCATTGGTGCTGAACGATCTGAAGCATTGGATTGGGGGCCCTATTAAACATTTGATTGTCAGCTTCAAGTAAATATTCAGCTTTGCTTCAGTGATGGCTTCATCCATCTCTTGTTCCTCCATTGATGTGAGCATGCTCAACTTTCAGCTGTATTTCTTGTTTCAGCTGCTCTGGCCTGCACTGCTTCAGCTCTTGCTTTTGCCATGGCGACAGTCAAACTAGCATTTGCGGTAGTGTTTGAGTGGATGGCACGAGCATCGTCAGACACTTTACTTGATACATCTGCCTTTTCCATCTCATTGTTTGGTGTTTAGTAGGTCTAACAAATTGAACTTCTTGATGTAGCTTCTTAAGAGCTTTAACTTGACCCTCCAGCAGCTGGCAGCTATGACATCTTTTCACTGTAGGCCTTGTTAACCAACCATGCTAACTATCCAACCAGCTAATCAGGAGTGTGGTACATAGAGAAACTTTACAGGGATTGTAGCTGTTCAGGGAATTCAGGGAAACATTATTCCATAACTGTAACATGCAA